TTTAGAAGGTGTTAATTAACCTATTCCACCACTGGACAATCTTTTTGATTGTTTACCTTCTGGAGAAGAGGTTACAGATTTTACCGACCTTGTTTTCATCTTCTACTCTAGGGTAAATTTACAATTTCAATATGCTTTTGGTCAGGTTAGTGACAACTCACTTTCAAGGTTATTTCCACTTCAGGGGCGTGTATGTATGTGTGTGTGTGTGTGTATGTGTGTGTGTTGGAGGTGGCAAGTGGTTGGAATGTGAGCAACTAGATCTTAACATTTCCCTCAGCTTGACCACACTCATGACAGGCTGCTGCTGTTGCTGCTTCCTTCTTTCTTCTTTCTTCTTTCTTCTTTCCTCCTTCTCCTTCTTCTTCCTCTTCTTCCTCCTCTTCCTCCTCCTCCTCCTTTTTAAAATCAGGAATGCTTTTGGAGAAAGAATAGACAGGCTTCCAGACTCAAAGCCTGCCTCAATTCAGTTTTATATACCAGGATGATCTTTCTCAAGGATAATGGAGTCGTCTCTTTAAAAATGTAGTCATCAAGGAAGATAGTGTCCCTATCTCCTAGTCTCTTGAGGGGAGAGAGGAATTTCGGTGGATTCCTTCCTCCCTGTCATGTCATGAAGACAATGACAAACGTATTTGGAGCGGGAGAGGAGAAGGAAGAGGATTTGCTTAGACATTGAATTTAAGTATTAAAGTCTTAATTCTTCCCTCCTTCTCTTCCCTTAGCCAATTATGTCTACTTATTCCCCTGTGAAGTGGTAACCTATCCTTTCTTTTGTGATAATCATCCCCTGAATTTTCATAGTTATTAGAATCACACTATAGTTTTTATCCACATATTTGTAAAACTCATTCATATTGACATGTATAGCTCTCGTTTGTTCATTTTTATTGTTACATATTATTCTGTTGCATGAATATACTGTACAATAGTTACCTATTTTATTATTGATGTTTGGGTTGTTTTGAGTTTGGGGCTATAAAGAATGATACCAATATAAGTATGCTTGCAAGGATAATATCAAAAATATTTAATGATAATATCAAAAATATTTAAGGCAAAGTCACATACCAATCATAACAGTTGCCAAACCCATCTGAGTGGAAGCTTGGACGTGTCTCCTGGTGCACATTTTCAAAAATTTTTCTGATATCTGTATCTAGGAATGGAGTTATTGAATTATAAGACATTTACTTCGTAGAGGCATTTAAATTTACAAGGTGATTTCAAGCTATTTAAAAAAAGAGTTGTACCTATTTATGCTTATATCAGTTTATACTTACATGAGAATTATTAATACATTGCCAACATTTAAGTTCCCTAGAATATATTTTTGCCAATGTAATGTGCATATGATGTCTCATTGTAGTTTAAACTGGAATTAACCTGAAACTAATGAGGTTGGGCATCCATGCATGCTTATTAATCATTTGAATTTCTTTGTCCTCTGATTTATTTGTGTATTCTTGACAGTAGTCCTTTTAAAATTGCTTTAGATAACAAATATCTTTCTGAACTTTGTGGCTTTTCTTATCAATATTTTTATAATTTATGAGAAACAGAAGTCTTTATTTTTGTGTAGTTGCGTTTATCAGATTTGCCTTTCGATTAGTATTTTTCTGTCTTAAGAATGTTTTTATAACCCGAGTTTATAAAGTTTTTTCTGTATTATCCTCTAAATGTTTTATAAATTTGACTTTCACATTGAAGTTTTAAAATTAAATGCAATTTATTTTTGCTAATTGTGTGAGATAATATCCAGTTTTATCTTTTCAAGTAGTTAATCGACCCACACTAGTCATTAAAAGTTCATGATTTTATCCAGATCTATTTTGCCTCCTCTGATATATATATATTTGTGTGTTAGTCTGCTGGTCTCACTATTCTGTTCTATTGTTCAATTTATCTATCCTGTGTTAGTACTATACTCTTTTAACTTTGGTACTTTTTAAAAATTATTCCTTAGGATTGTCTAGAGTGTAACTTGTCTACTTTTATGAGTATTAATAACTATTAGAAAAATAGTTTTCAAACTTGGTCTTCCTCTTCAAGTATGCTTTGACTTTCTTGGCATTTTGTGCATCAACATAAATTTGTAATCTTCTTGTGAAATTCCACATATATTTAAAAATGTGGTTGCATTGGGCTGGGCGTGGTGGCTCATACCTGTAATTCCAGCACTTTGGGAGGCCGAGGCGAGTGGATCACAAGGTCAAGAGTTCGAAATCAGCCTGACCAACATAGTGAAACCCTGTGTCTACTAAAAATACAAAAATTAGCCGGGCGTAGTGGTACGCACCTGTAATCCCAGCTACTCGGGAGGCTGGGTCAGGAGAATTGCTTGAACCCAGGAGACAGAGGTTGCAGTGAGCTGAGATCGCACCACTGCATTCCAGCCTGGGCGACAGGGCGAGACTCTGTCTCAATAAAAAAGAAAGAAAAAAAGAAAAAAGAAAAATGTGGTTACATTGAATACCTGCATTTGTTGCATTTGTGATTTGGGAAGAGTTGAGTATCACTACAATATTCAACTTTTTCAATCAGTGAACATGGTATTCAGGTCTTATTTAATATATTATCTGAATAAGATTCTCTGTAGAGGTCTTTAACTTCTTTGTTAATTTATTCCTAAGGATTTGATACCTTTGATGCTAATAAAAATTATCTTTTAACAATTTCATTTGTATCTAGTAGAACTGACAAATTCACTTGTATATTCTAAAGAAAATTGTTGAGTGTTTGGATTTTCTATGCATAAAGACATATAATCTATAAATAATTATAATTTTCCTTTCTTTTCTACTTCTGGTTAATTTATTTGTATTTTTTTTCCATGCCTTGATACATGACTGGGATATTTGATGCAATATTAAATAGAAATGATACAATAGGTATACTTGTTTTGTTTCTGGTCTCAAAAGAAAAGTCATTCACCAACAAGTTTTATACATAGATACAATTCATTAGATTTAAAGAGTACTATTCCATTCCAAGTGTGCTATAAAGTTTTTATTGTGAATGAATTTTTAATTTCATCAAATATATCACAATACCTTTTCATTCTTATACTTTAGTATATTAATGTGGTAGAGTTCATTAATTCATTTCCCAATATTAAAATACTCATGCAAATAGTGTAATTTAACTTGATCATGATTCTTATCATTTTTATACATTGCTGGATTGGTTTTGTTCATTATTGGTTAGATATCTTGGCATCCATGAAAATTTCTCATATCTGATTATGGTAACTTGGTTTTCTTTTGATTGGCATGGATTTTTTCATTTAATTAATCTTTTCAAATAATCAAATTTTGGAAGATTGTTTTCTTATAAATAATCCATGAAATTCTTCCTTCATTTCATAAATAATAAAATGAAAAATATAATACAAAAAAGTAAAAATGTCAAAATTTTAAAAATTAAATTTTTTTGGAGTTGTTAGTTATACAACAAGGAAAGATTTCAACATTTTTGCAATTATAGTTTTATCACTATCTTTTAATAGATAACTATTTCGTCTCAGTCTTCAAGATCTTTAGACTGTAGTTTGAGGCATTTTCGGCTTTTAATACCTAGAAAATAAATAGTCAAAAACCCGAACTTGGTAATCATTCATCTATTTATAACTCTTTAGACCTGGCATTTCTTAAGAAAACCTCCAAGATACACTTCACCTAAGAATGCCCTTAAAAGTTTACCAGAAGTATATTACATAAAATTTGATCAATCAGTGTCAATACATTCCTAAATTTAATTATTGCAGAGAGATGAATAGATAAAAAATAAAAATTTAAAGCAACTAGTTTTTTACACTGTTTTAAGGTTAAAAAATGATAGATAACTTACTTGTTATAGCAAGAGAGTATCAAAGAACGTAGTAAACATGTAAGCCCCCTCAGACATGCCTTAACTGGCCAAAAAGGGTAAATCTGAGCATTAATATGAATAATAGCTTCAAAGAATTATATTAAATATGTTTCAATCTTTGGTTTTATAATGACATTAAAAGTAAAAACAAAAAGGAATTCATTATTTTTGGAGGATGGTAGGGAACTATCTATTATTTTGAAATATGGTAAACGAATAAAGGGAAATTGTCCAGCTTTCTCTGCCTTTATCCTAGATTTCTTGTACAGACTATACCATGGGGTAACCAAATATTGACTCAAAAGAAGTTTATCTTTTTCTAAATATTTCAAGAAGAAATAATGATTGATATACAATATTATCATTTTGCAACATTTAATTAATTAATAAATATATTTTAGGGATTCAGCATCAGTGCACAAGCAGGACAAAGTAAGAGACCACCAGACATATGTGCCTCCCAGTACAGGAATACAAGACCAACCTGTGACAAAGAAATTGAACATGATTTTGACCAAGCATATAGAAAAAAATACCAATGTACAAGTAACGCAGAGGCAGAGAAACTTGTTAACTACACTATAGTATGCAATGAGCAAAACCCAGTTTGCAAGGAACCTTACAGGTGCAAAGACCAAGTTTTTTTTTTTTTTTTTTTTTTTTTTAAGAGACTCACTGAAAAAGAAGGAAGGGGTAGGAGAATATGTAAATTAAAAGACTCTTAGAAAAATATTAAAAATAGAACATGACAACTACACTAGTGTTTTGTGGGCTGTGTGAGTGATAAATCAAGAAACTGTTATCATTAAATCAGGATAGTGTTACATTTAGAAGGGTGGGAGTGAGTTGTGATAGAGATGGGTTAAATGGAAGACTTATGAGATGGCTGGCAAAGTTCAATTTTTTGGCCTGGGTGGTGGTTATAAGAATGTCTGACATCCGATCATTTATGAAGCTATGCATTTGTTTAATTCTGTTTTCTGTAACTCTGCTATATTTACAATACAATTTTAAAACTGGGCGAGTGAATATATTTACAATACAATTTTCAGAGAAGATGTCCTGAAAAGTTTTATCTTTATATTAAGGATGAATTTATCAAGTTGATAAACACAAGAAGTCAAAGGTGATATTTTCAATATTTATTAGTAAGGCTGAGGCAACAGCCTTTATACGGCACAATTTACATAAGTTATCAAGATACATCTTGTATACAATCACAAAACCAAGACATATTTTTACATAGAGTAAAACTCAAGATGGATTTACAAGCATTTTTTTTTTTTTTTAAATACAACTCTCATGTTATTTTCAGGTCAATTTTTACAGTCCTTAGTCCAAGAATTTGCATTTGTCTATTAGATTTTCCAAAGGGATTTGGGTAAAACAAACAAAAAAACACATTAGCAAATCACCAACATGGCATGCAACATATAGTCAGAAACAAGACATATCTTCAAGTACTTTAGTTTTTATTTCAAAATCAGTTTTATTAAGGTGTTTATGTTTTCAGACAAGAAAATTTTTTCTTAAACTTCATATGTGTTGTTAGGATATTAGCACACACATTAATCAGTAGTGGGAGCACCTGAGCACGTCACCTAACAAATATACAGACACAATCAAACAATAATCATATTCACATGCTGAATGCCAAATGAAATGAACATTTCAACTTGGTCTACTTTACCAAATGTATACTTATGTACAAGGTAATGAATTAAGAAAATGCTCTCAATCTACCTATCAGATAAAGAATTTGATTAAATAATTTTGGCTTAATGGATACCTTTAATAATAGAACATGAAACATACAGAAAACAGCACTGTATCATATTCAATGAGAATATTTGTTTCACTCATTCATTATTGTATTACACCCAAGGTAAGTAATTATTAAATAAATAGCTCATAATTATTCATTGAGTCTTCTTTCACTTTCATTTCAAGCTCAAAAAGAGGGAAGGAAGATCACTTCTGTCACACATAGCACATATATAGCTGTAGTTGGCTGATTTTGGAATATTTGACATTGTAGCAATGAAAATAAGTTTTTAAAAATATTGTTATGATTTAAATAATAAAGTAAAAAAATACTATAAACATCTTTATGACATTTTGATGAAATGAAGCATTGATCAAATAATTTCTAATAAATTGGGCACAATATAATATATAATTTTATTTTACTTCACATCACCACCACCGCTAATATCACTACTGCTACCACCACTATCATTACAGTCGTTCCTATAATAAGAATCAATATCAGCTGGTTACCAGCTATAATATTCCCACAATATGACTATTTAAATGTGTGTGATCCACAAAATTAATTCCACTGGTATGCTGAAAATATGCATTTAATTAGTGTAATTTGTTAAAATATGGGCATTATTAAGGAATAAAGACAATTGATGCCCCTTAGTCTTGATATTTTAAACTGAAATATAAATAAAGAGTTCAGAGTCACCAAAAATCTCCTTAATCTTAAGTAAAAACAGGGAAAACACCAACTTCTTGCTACTAGGGTTATTTGTGTCTGTAATGACTATTCTATATTCCCTGTCTTTTGTAAAAATTCACTCTGTGCTTTTGTTTCTACAGCTGAAAGTTTCCTTAGGACCAATTTTTAAACCAAGAAGCAACATCAGTCTCTGATGACTCAATGAAATTGTGGGAAAAATTGAGATGCTCTTCAAGGTAAAAGTGCTGTAATTGGAGTAATTACGTATTATATAGAGATTACAAACTCTGTCAGTATTAGAATAAAAAAAAGTTAGTTCCAATAAAATGAAATAAACTAAAGAGTGAAAAATCATGTACTGTGATATGTACAAAAAAGTAAAAAACACCAAGAGCCCTATTTGCAATAAAAAAGAAACAGTTTTGTTGTAAGAAGGGTAATCGACATCATTCAGAAGAAACGCATTCATATAAGGATCAGTGTTGCATAGAATAATTCCAGTACAACCTAGAAGTTTGGTCAGCTTCAAACTTGGCACACTGGCAGGATCTTATGCTCTCTGAAGGGGAATGCTGGTGCACAAAAATAAGCCCTGTTGTCAGCTCTGCTGATTGACCTAGCCCCATCACTAGTTCCTTGGAACGGAGGGGCTTCTATAATGGAAGGACTCCTACTCTTTCAGGTTAAATAGCTACCAAAGAGATAATCTTTTTTTTTTGGTGATCTCTCCATTTATATTATTCTAAAAGAAATTGCAACTGGAATGAAGAAAACTAACTGGTTATACAAACTCTCATGCATACCTCTGGATATGAGTGGCTGCAAAAGAGGATCAGAGATGAGTCAGGGTTTTCTTTTAAGGGCAAATATCAGAGCCTTTTTATGTCAGAAGGAGATCTTCTTGGACCTTTTCTTCCCCAATTATGAGTGATGATTATAGGCTTCTTCAAGTGCTAGTTTCTGCTGGAAATATCCATGGCAACCATCAGCAGATCTAATAGTTTCTAAAAATAAAATACTAGCAATATAATGTTTTTGATGATTCCACTCTCCCATGCTCATTTTAGAGCAATGTCAATGGTAAATGACATTGTACTGTCAGTGGAGGGGGATTAAAAAATAGAGGGAAGAAAAGTTATGGTTATCTTTCTCAGTTTGCAGAAGAGTGAATTTATATTCTGAAGTTTTATATATATAAGCTTATATATATATAACTTATTTCTTTAAAAATGAGAAAATTCAATATCCAACCAATATCTAGAGATGGGTTTCTCTAATCCCACTAACACTTCACCATTAAATAAAGCAGAAAGTTTTAAGCTCAGAATGCTCTGAGAAGCAATTTGATTTATTTATTTTGGGTAGAATGTAGGAATTGGGTAAGACCAGCATTATTCATTTAATTGAGGATAACAAAATTTGCAAATCTTTTTCATGTAATTCTTCACCTTTATTCAGGTTAAAGTTTATATTTTAAATAAAAAATAAGTTTTGCAGCTAATTTACTGCTTTTATCCATGTCAATCCTTGCCATTGGTTTAGATGATGGTTTCCACATATAAAATTTGAGAATTAAAAAGCTATGTAATAATTATTCCTCACTTCTGTGTATAAAACTATATTTGGAAATGTGCTTTCATCTCTCATGGATCATTGATTTATCATCACAACATCTCATTTGGAAGGTTAAGGATATATAATTATTTTTATCCTACAGATAAGAAAACTGGGGTAAAGTGAGTTTAAGTGACATGTGCAAGGTGACATAGTCAGTGGCAGAACTAAGACCAGAAGACAGGCTTTTATTCCCTGCTGAGCGTGTTTTCCACAACTTTCACATTACTTCCTTAATTAATAATGCTAATAGAGAAGAGGGTGCTTGATTTTAAGACTTGGACATTAGTTGTTTTATTCGTTATTATTAAAATAGCTCAAAGTATATTTTAATCTCCGGTAAGTGTTGACTTTTCACATATTTTCCCAACATTGATGAACCTGATTACTGTGATATTGTCACTAAAATAAGAAAATAGAGCACTAGAAAGAACTCGTTTAGTGTCATGTTTTCATGATACAATCAGTAAATGAATTACTCATTAAGAAAAAAAGGGTAAAATATTATGAAATGAGGAAATGATATCCATTTAATTAATCAGTATCACAAGATTAATATAGTTCATTTGCCAGAGAAAGAATTTTCTTTCTCTGTCAATGCATCACGCAAGAGAAAGGAAATGTGCAGGATAATATATTTATTTGCAGTTTCACAAAGAGTAAGTTATCATGCTTCCTAGAACATATCAGTTTACTCTAGGTCCTTTGGTACATAGATTGAAGATGTCTTGGCTTAATGGTAAATTATGAAGATTTTGATGGTTTCAACCAAAATTCCAGTATTTTATGGGACATCATTCTTCTTTGTTAGCCAGTCACAGTTTTATTTCTAGATAAATTCAATTTTATTTTTACCTAGTATTATCTTCACTCTACATTATTTCAAGTTACACTGAAACAAATGTGCTTTTACCACATGGATTCCAAAGTCAGTGTTGTATACCCTTGTAACATTTAGACACACAGAAAACTGGTAAGATATGGCCTAAAAGGCATAATTTGTACATCTCCTATTCCATTTTCCCTAAGAACATAGCCACCTCACTTCCAGTCCTGGACACATATTGTAGGTATATCTTATGTCCGAATCTGAAAGCATCTGGTTGTCTGAATAGAAGATGATGAAGGAAGATTTTTGAAGTTTTGAAAACTGAGATTTGTTAAATCAGTTCTTTCCTTTCAACCAAGGCTTCTTTGCATAAAGAATTACCTTTGTGCTACATGGAAACCACATTAATCTTTAAGCCTCTGTCTTAAGTTATAGCTCAACTCTGTTCAAAGCTTTTTGCCTTAAGTAATCAAAATTTGTTTCACAGTTTCTCTTCACAGCCTGGGAAATTCAAGGTCTCAGTACTCCATTCCTTTTTGTTTTCAATATGTGAACTTTTTCAATTGAATATCTTTGTGTGATACATACACAACAATAAATGTACAAGGTATTAAGCATGTTTTTGCCTGTTGTTCCCATTCTTACGTTTGCCTCTCAAAACTTAGCTTAGTTTCCAACTGTAGTCTTGATGTGAGGCTATTTAGAGCAGTTTCTATACCCTGAGAAGACGTGTTTCTTCAATGAGTTTGAGTAGGACTGACCAAAAGTTTGTGCCAATTGACTATTCTTTTTCTGAGATCCACTTTGTCAAGCCAGATACAGGCTTCACCAATCAAGGTCTTTTTCATAAACTTCCCTCCATTGGAGAAAAGTAAAATCTAGAAAAAATAGTCAAAAATAAACATATTTAATTTATATACGTATATATGTGTACAGTTTTCAACCTCTTTAAAGAACATTTAATCATCAAAAAAATAGCACAAAAGAGGGTGACGCTGAGTAGAAGTAGCAGATATACTTTCAGGAGAACTAATAATCAAGGTGTTCTCCAAAGATTTGCATGTAATATAAATTAATTCACATCAACATTTGTATTATTCTGCAAAGGAAAAGACACATTCTAAAGAAAATGAGAATACTAGGTAAGAAATGTATAACCAGCTAATTCTAAGTTTATGCTTAAATTGATGGAAAGTTTCACAAAATAACTTTGCCAAATAATTTTTTACTAGTTTACACAAAGCCAAATCAAATAAAAGATTATCTGAATTCTGAATAAATAAATATAACTTCACCGGGCATTGTTTTTATTTAGTGTTAAATTTTCTGATGATTTTACTACAGTATGTACTTCCAAACTGCTTTTTGAAGTCATATGCAGAACTTATCACAAGGGTCTCAAACTAAAGAATTTTTTTTTTTCATTTTAAAGATGAGTTGAAGGAAAGGTAGAGAGCATTCAGTGGAGCTAAGCATTAATCCTTGTAATTGTGTTCTCTTTTTCTCTTCAGAATCTCCTTTGGTTATATAATTTACCCTTATTCCTGGCTAAAACTTAACTTTTATGCTTCTGACTTCAAAATTTGTACTTCCAGATATGACTGTCTCTTCTGATTTCTGATTCAGGGATTTCAAATGACATTGTATATTTTCACTTCAATCTCTGCCTTCTTATCAAATTCATTTCAGAAAAACTCTTGATCTTTCTCTATTCCAAATCCCCTGACTACGTAATCTCTGTGAAATAATACATTTGTTGACACAGACTTCAGAGTGTCATTTTTTCTTTATTCCTTTCTAGTCTAATATCAGTTAATCTTCTCAATACATATTTGCTTTGTAATATCTTTTATCTTTGTCTCTAATCCAAACCTTTAATTTCCTGTACCATGGTCTCTTCCTACATTTTTTTCTCTTTTCTCATTCCCCCATTTCTACTTTCATTCCTTGTCTCTATATCTCCTGAAGACCTACTATGTGCAAAGCATTGTGTAGGCTGTAGGTAATGAAAATTAGGCCTTGCCCTAGAGAAACTGATAGCATAGAAGCAGTGACAGATAAGTACAAATATTGTTGTTACAAGACAGACTGGAATTGATAGCCTAATAATAGAAGCAAAATGTTTTGTGAATACAGTATGATGAATTATACCCAGGGTCATCAGTAGGGAGATGAAAGATGTGGAGTATTGTGATAGATGGTGAGAGTTGGAAAAGGGAACTTTGAAGGGCGGAAAAATATGAGCAAAGGATTGGAGGCTTAACATGACTTGAAGAGAGTCTGTTGTGACTGGAGTATTGAGTGGAAAAGTATCCAAGGAGCTGAGACTAAGTCAATCCAATTAAAACTCACTTTGGAAGACTCTGACTGATTCAAGATAATGATTCAAGATAATTGAAGACCTTTAATGTAAACTAACAAGTTTAATGTAAACTAACTAGGGTTTTAAAAGGTAACTCTGGCAGTGCTGTGATGAAATGAACTAAAGGGATAAGACGTAAATTACAGTAGGCCAGGTAAACAGATGAAATAATTTGAGTAACAAAGATGGGGACCTAAAAAGGTTTAGTGGCAGTGAGCATGAAAATAAGAGGAATCTATGTAAAATAAACTCTGCAGACAGAGTAGAGAAGACTTGGCAGCTGATTGGATGAGGTGAATGGGCTGTGGAATTCTAAAAGACTCCTGGGGAGATACTGATAAAAAATAATTAACTTCTCAAATGTCATATAGTGTATGATCAGTATATAAATATTGAATGATGGAATAAAAATAAATACTACATGAATGAGAAGTTTTACATATCAACTACATAATACAGAGTTACCTGAAGAGAATGTCCTGCAGGACTTAGACTGAATCGAAAAGTTTCATTGAATGAAGGCTCTCGATCATGTCTGCATACTCTTGTTTTTTTCTTGATCACCTTTTTTTGGGTAGAAATATTCATCACATATATTTTCACATATAAATCTGAAAATAAGAATTCAGCCTATTAAATTCCATCAATCATATAAATTTCTATTGAAAGAATTATAACTGTACACTGAGAGTTCTTCCTACATTTTGTACAAAGCCAGCAGATTGTAAACAATTTGTTTCAGACAACATAAAATGATTAAAAGATATGCCTATTTATTTATTTTTTTGAGACAGGGTCTTACCCTGTCACCAGTCTGGAATGCAGTGGCCAGATAGCTCACTTAACCTCAAACTACTAGGCTCAAGTGGTCTTTCTGCTTTAGCCTTCTACATAGTGGGGACTACAGGCAGGAGCGACCACATCTAGCTGATATATCCATTTTCTTAGCAATTTAAATTTGTCCTTCTGTTGTCTAATGAATATAACACTCTAATGTATATGTTAAAATGTCTAGCTAAAAACTGAAAGAAAACAACTTGTTACATATGTTAATCAGTTCTTTTTTCTGACCTATTTGGTGTACAGTTCAAATTTTAGTTAACATTTTCCAGAATATGTAAGACACATCCCTAAAAAATTCTAGATATACTGATGACTATAATAAAATTAGATACCTGGTAGATGATCGGGAGACTTAAATTTGTATGTAATATTTCTGCATTGGAGAATTTCAACTATTAGTTGTTCACCATCTGTCTTCATTTCCTTCTTCAATGCAATCTTGATTTCTCCCATTACCTGAGTTTTAGCTGAGAGAATTTAATAAAAATGTAAAAAAGTATGTAATGCCATATATGAAATGTTTAGTTCAATAATTCATTCATACATTCATTTACTGTTTATCAAGTGCTAAATATCTTATGACATCCTAAGTGCTAAATATCCTATGACTGTATTTTATTCATCTGTGTACTTATTCACAGATGAATAAATTTATTCACAGATGAATAAAATACACAAAATTTATCACAGATTCATTTATTTAGATATGAATAAAATACAGTCCCATGCCCTTAAAGCCCTTAAAGAGTGAACAATCTTATGGGCAGACTGATAAATATACAGATGCTTACACCAAAGTATGTTAAATATAATGATAGCTTAGTAACAAGGGAGGTATGGAGAAATGCGTGTAGATCAATTTTACTCAACTGTAGACTTTTAGGGCAAAAGAAGTAACAGATATGACTGTACCAATTCACAAAGATATGACTCTATCAAGAGATATGACTCTATCGATTCATGTATTAATTTACTTATTCATTCTCCAACAAATATTTTATTTCCCACCCTACTCTGTGCTAAGCACTCTGCTAGGAAGAGTGAATATAATGATAAGCCAAAACGTGGGTGCTTATTGGTTTCATGGTTTTTCTATCTATTGGGAAGAAAACCATTAATCAAATATTTCCATCAATAAATATGTAACTATAAAAAGAGGAAAGGTTCTGAAGTACAGAAGCATGGTTTCAATGGAGGCTAAAACAAAGGAGCAGATATCTAGGGAGGTGCTGCTTAAGCTGAAGCCAGAAGGATGAGAGTTAATTAGGTGAGACGGATTAGGAAGGACATTCCAGAGAGAAGGAACAGTGTGTTCGCAAAAGGAAACATAACATGAGAAATAAATGCCTCTGAGATTGTAACATATTGGAAATTGAAGCCATGTTAATTTGGTTTTTCCCTTTAGATCTATATGAATCTATTGAAGGTCTTTAAACATGGCTGTAGATAATTTATTCTGAAACATTTTGATCTCAGGAATTCTTTACACTCAAAGAAATTGAGGGTCTTCAAAGAATATTTGTTTATGTGGATAACTACCAATATTAGAAATATAAAATTTCTAATTTTTAATTAAAATTCCAAAGTAGATATTTAAAAATATTTATTAATCAAATTAAATGATAACAACTGCTTTAATGAAAATGTTTTAATGAACATAACCATATTTTCCAAAACAAAAAAATAATAGAGGTACTCTTTTATATTTTTACAATTTCATTAGTGCATGGCTTAATAGAGGACAGCTGCATTCTCTTTCTTTCTCTCTCTTTCCTTTCTTTCTTTCTCCTTCCTTCCTTCTGTAGAGATGGAGTCTTGCTATGTTGCCTAGGCTCGCCTCACATGGCCTTAAGCAATCCTCCTGCCTTGGCCTTCCAAAGCACTGGGATTACAGGCATGAGCCACACTGCACCTTACCTCTTTTTTTCCTTTTAGAGATAGGTTCTCACTCTGTCTCTCAGGCTGAAATGCAGTGGCCCGATCATGGCTCACTGCAGCCTCAGACTTCTTAAGTCAACCATTATATTTTGGTATGTGTCATAGGCGCTTTAAGAATTTTTCCTATTTAATCACATGAATATTAGAAAGAAATGCACTAAAGGATTTAGATTTTTAAACAGTTGAACTGATTCATTGAGGATACCCTTAAGTGAAACTGGCATATTTTTCCCTGTAAGAGTATGTTGGTAAATAAATAAAGTGTCTACAAGCACAGTTTCTTGCCTCTGCCTTAATTGGAAATAAGTTCCTAGCACTTTCGTGCACTATTACTTTGCACTACCAATATAAATGTCAACCAAGTGAAATAGGTAAATAATTTCAGTGTATTTTGAAAATGATTTTGACTTTATGAACTTAAAAAGTCTCGGGGCACCATGGAGGTCTGTGAACCACATTTTGAGAACAACTGTTATAGAGTATAGTTGAGTAATTTTTGAAAGAAATGAAATAACAAAACACTATGAATAAAGTTCTAAAAATATGAGGCTATAGTTATTTGATCATTTTGATTTAACTTTGTAACATTTTGGGAAAATAATTTATAGATGTATTCTTTTCTAGACTAAGCAACTGTTTGATTAAATTAACTTAAATTTTGTAAGTCCAGATACACCCTTACATGTGGAAAAATGTCTATAACATATCTCTCCTCACTCTCTTCCTCTGTCAGAGAACTAATACTGTAGCCCAAAAATTGACAAAATTCTCTTCTATGTGTTTTATAAACTAAAATACAAACCTTCTAGATAGAATTAAATAATAATTCATGAGCCAATGATTACAGATAGTTAGTCCACAGTAGAGAGAGGTTTACTTTCAAGAAACTCTAAGTATAAGTCAAAGATTTTATATCCAGCTAAACTGTCTTTCAAGTATCAAGTCTATAATTTTCAGCATGAAAGAACTCAGGGAATACTTCATAAAGTTTGACTCTCTGAGAAGTACATAAGATGTATTTTATCAAATCCAAGAGACAACTAGAGAAACTTCAGCAAAAGGACTGATGGTAATTATTCAATATAATTAATTATAGAATGAAGATTGAGCAGTACATAGGTTGGTGGAAGAATAGTATGGAAATGTTATATTTCTGACAGTATAAAGTATGAAACTAAAAATTAATGAATAAAGAAGGGAGAGAGAAACAGGAAAGCAGAATGGGATTATTGATTTTTGTATAGGTAATAGGTAACAAAGGATGCCATTTAAAACTAACAAGCCAGGTAGTCAAGGGTCATGTAAGAGAAACAGGCGTTAGACATTATAAAAACTATAAAAAAGAAGGAAAACCTTTAGAACAATGATACAAAAATTTCTTAATTACAAAAGAAAATTTAAAAACTCAGAGGTCAAGTGGAGAAATATCATAAATATGACATAATATATACAATGATTATAAAAGAAAATGCAGAGTTGAGATCAAGCATATCTATTATATCACTAAACATGAGTAAGTTTTAGCTAGCCTATTTTAATTTTTTTTCAGATTGGCTCATAAAGCAAAGCCTAGTTCTATACTATGTATAAGAAATACAACTAGTTTTGTTCCAAATAGTAAAAAATACAGATATTGGTAAGTATGTCAGGCATACGTAATCAATAAGAGTGCAGAGGTTGAGATCTTATTATCAGGTAAAACAGAATTCAGGCCAAAATGCAGCAAACAAGACAAAGAAAGACACTGTGTGAAACTAGAAATTCATAAATCATAATGAAGACACAACATTTATCAATATCCATGTACCACTTATGTAAAGTTGAAACTACAAAGTAAGATGTAAGGATGTAGAGGATTTAAGGAGGAGTAAAGATGATAATAATGCAATATTAACATTATAAGACAAGGCAAGTGAACTAAAAAACTAGATAAAATATTGAGACACTATAATCAATAAAGTAGATCTCATGGATATATATCAAACACTATACCCTGATAATAACGAATATACCTTTTTCTCAGTCATCTATGGAACATATTCAAAAATCGATCATATATTGAGTTACAAAGAAGACATTAGTGAGTTCTATAAAATGAAGCTATTATCAACATTATGTGATAATACACTTAATGGCTTTCAACTAACCAACTTTTGGGTGAATGGAAAAATACTATGAAAAATAATGATAATAAAACACTATATATCAGAATCTGTAAGAGTTAAAGAAATGATCACATGAAAATAAATAGCTTTAAACTCCTATATCATTTCAAGTAATGATTAGAAAATACACATATTCTTCTATCTGCTATCAATAAAAATTTAAAAATACAATTGGTTTAAATTCCAACTCAAAATCTAGAAAGGAACAACAAAGTAAAACAAAAGTACAAGAAAGGAAATAATAAAGATGTCCACTGAAATTAATAAAGTAGAGAACAGAAAAAAAGTAGATAATAAATTAAAATTCTGGTACTTTGAAAAAACCCATCAACAAAATAGAAAACTTAATAGTGAATTTAGTCAACATCACATGGCTTCTTAACATTCCTATTTAGAAATGGCATGTGCTCTCTTAACTGCAACACTACTGTCCTCTCAATGATTTGCTATAAAACATCTGGTGTCATGAATATACCCTAATACTAATTGGCTCACATTTTGTTTATACATTCTTGACAGATGGGAAACTACAAATCTCACCTTATATGTTTCTTTGAATTTGCGAGGGCAAATTCAGTTCTGGTTCCTTAACCATTTTAAATAATCATAAACAAGCCCATTAAAATCTCTCTTTTTTAGGACCTTCACAGTAAAGAATCTCTAAAATAGAAATGAGAAAATGAGAGATCTTAAGATCTCCCTTCTTCAATATCTAGAGGATTTGTGGGGGTGGGGGTAAGCAGGAAAAAAAGTAAAATGTACGAAAGTGTTAATCAGAACCAACAAAGCAAGGAATAGGCTATAGTCTCTGAACAGAAAATCCAAAGAAGTGATGTCTAGGAATGAAAAGGCAGTTTCTGGTAAGGTACAAGTTAGCAGCATTCTTGAGCACAACAATATCACAAAGTCTTGTCATGAAAGGAGAAATGAATTGACAAAGCCCTGAGAATTATTACTGAATCCCCCATCATAGGGAAGTAGATGAACAATGAGAGTAGCCAGCTCTAGAAAAAAATAAAAAAATCAAAATAGGCCTGGCGCGGTGGCTCACGCCTGTAATCCCAGCCCTTTGGGAGGCCGAGGCGGGCGGATCACGAGGTCAGGCGATCCAGACCATCCTGGGTAACACAGTGAAACCCCGTCTCTACTAAAAATACAGAAAATTAGCCGGGCGTGGTGGCAGGCGCCCAGCTACTCAGGAGGCTGAGGCAGGAGAATGGCGTGAACCCGGGAGGCGGAGCTTGCAGTGAGCCGAGATCAGGCCACTGCACTCCAGCCTGGGTGACAGAGTGAGACTGCATCTTAAAATAAATAAATAAATAAATAAATAAATAAATAAATAAGAATAAACCTTTGAGAGTGGC